CTTTAGACATAGTCTAAAATTGTTGGTCAATGGCGCAGTCTATTTCAGTTATTTAAAATCGCAATGTGCCAACAATGTGCCTTGAAACCTTCTTTTCAGACTGGAACACTCATAAGTCCACAAAGCAGCACAAATAGATTTGCTATATAAACAACGTGTTGCAAAACGGGAAATTTACTATTGTGCTGGTCTGAAAATAGTAAGAAATCACACCAAACACGTCTTGCACCTATGATAGGGCCCAATATACTATTTAAAATGTTAATAAAAGTCACTTTCCATGATTATAATTTGTCAAAAAAAAAAGATAAAGATCCCATAATGCAGTTCAAAAGCGTAAATAAATATAAAAAAATAGCTAATTACCGGATACATTTTACAGTGTATATCTAATAAATATAGCAAATAAATATGAATATCATCAACAAAAATATTAGAAATACCATGCGCGATTTACAAAACCACAGAATTGTGGAAAGCGCAATAGATTGAAGGACCTATGACGTCACCTTGTAGGCTAATCGGCTGCTAGATAAAACTGGTTCCCTCGATAAAACTCCCATAGGATTTTCCCATAGGGTTTTTAGAAAATTGCAAATAACAAGCTGTGTATTCAAACATTGCTCATCACACTTACACAGTTTATCCAACCGGATAACTCTCACACAAAAATACAACTTTTAGCACTTTTGGATCTTAAATGCAAACATTAGGCTATAAACGGACAACAGTGCTTTGGGGCAGGGTGCTCACCTCTGACGTCAGCACTGCCCTGCTACAAAGAACTTTTCAAGCTTATTAGAAATACGGCCCATGACATAGGTTTAATCTCTCGGTTTATTATATTATAATCCACGCTATACAGAGGTTGGACAGTTGGACTTTCTCATTGTCCTTCATTTTGACGGAGAGGGTTGTAAAAATTCCATCATAACCTATTATCGCTTGTTTCATTCATATTTTAATAATGAACTTGCACGACAAGCATATAGGCTAGATTATTCAATTATTTATTTGACAAATGAACAAAAACTCTTATCTGCCTTAACTAATATCTTCCTCCTGCATCGACCTGAACTGGGTGCTTGGCTGTGCGTAATCAAATGCATCAAGGGAGACTGATGCAGAGGCAATTGTCATTAAAGTCTGTGTCTTTGCCTCGGAAAGTCGACTTCTCATGACCAAAAAATGGAATTAGCACTACTCTAGCCAGCGTTTTGTAGTTTGGAAACATTTCTCCTAAGGCTGCGATCAGAACTAAGTTTGCTGGATTCTCTGAATGTGGTATTTCCCGATCCTGCAAGGACTCGTTTCACTGGGAAAAAATACTACAGCATTGCAATGTTTATGTCGTAGAGTAAAACACAAAAGTATCTTGACTTTGTGTAAGCCACGAAGCTTATTTAAGCGATTTAACTGAAATCCTATTGAAAAAAAATAAAATAAAAAACATTGGCTTTAGAATGAGGGAACCGTAACTGCTAAAATGCTAACTCGCTTCCAGGTTTTTGCTTACAAATTGACATCATAGTTCCTCCACTCTATTCCAAAACACGGTGAAAATTTCAGCAAATGATTTTAAATGACCATATAAATAACATGGATATTTTTTTTGTAATTCTTACATAATGATTTTTAGCAAATGACTGGGATTCTTGTAAATGATATGCAGAGTGGCATCTTTCACAGACACAACTGGACCAGTGTAGCCTCATTACTGCTCGCCTAATGTCCTAATTAACAGCATAACGGGAGGGCAGATGGCACTTCATCAATCGCTGCTGGATTGTGTTAAGTTGTACTTAGGAAGTATCTTTCCCTCGTCCTCAGGCCGCGATAACAGCTAAATCTCTCCTCATGAGCTCTAAAGCATTCTGAAAGGCAGCACAATCTGGTTTAGGTCAGCAGGTTTAAGGTTTGAAAGATCTTTTTTCCATTGTCCACTCTCAATGTCGTTTGGGACAGAAGCAGATCTTTTCACCTCTGACTTTCTAATAACGCCATCACAAAAACACAGGATGCATTATTACTGATGAGTCTGCACGCATTCGTTTCAGTATTGCTGGTAATAGTCGTAACATCTCCACCCGCACATCATGCTGACATATGCACTGGCCCAGAAATAATGCTATTTGTGTCGACTTTCAAAACGCTTTATTTTCATGCTACCGAGATAAATAAATTGTGCATATGTGGAATAGCCCTCGCTCGTGGTGTCAACGCTATTCGAGGAACTTCCTCTGACAAAAAAAAAAGCCTGTCATCTAGGGAAGATCGTTTTACATAGTTGAATGATATGCATATATAAATGTTTAATGAGACATTTCCTGTGTGTGGGAGATGCAGTTTGTTTCATCTCAGCGTGGCATTCTCTCGACGAACACGTCTTTGGTGTATATTTGCATGCAGATGTATTCTCATATTTCACATCCACTGAATTTTCATCATTAATTGATTCCCTTTGAACATCATGACACGAGTTATCAGATTCTTTCATAACCGAGTTGCATGACACAACTCTCAATTAATCCAGCTGAGTGTTGTTAGGGGATGAAGCAGAAAGACAAGTCTGGAGCAGCAGGGGTTGTTAATAATTATTAAACCGTTCGTTTTAAATGAACTTGTGATTGTTTTGCTTTGGCACATGTGGATAAGCCATGTGCTTCCTGATATTGCACAGACAAAAAAAGGCAGATGTAGGAAAATGTTAGAGATTTGTCAATAGTTGGCATGTAAATTCAGAATTTTAATTTGTGCGCAAAAATACTGCATGTCACCATGATGAGATCTAAATCAAAACAATGATATCTAAATCTGATCCTCTAGCTACACTCACTGGACACTTTATTAGGTACACCTTACTAGTACCAGGTTGGACCCCCTTTTGCCTTCAGAACTACCTTAATTCTTTGTGGCATAGAGTCAGCAAGGTATATTCCTATGAGATTTTGGTCCATACTGACATGATAGCATCAAACAGTTGCAGTCAGCTGCACATCCATAATGCAAATCTCCCATTCCAACACATCCCAAGGGTGCTCTATTGGATTGAGAGCTGGTGACTGTGGAGGCCACTTAAGTACAGTGAACTCATTGTCCTGTTCAGGAAACCAGTATGAGATGATTCACGCTTTATGACATGGCACGTTATCCTGCTGGAAGTAGCCATCAGAAGATGGGTACACTTTTGTCATGAAAGGGATAGACATGGTCAGCATTCTTAGCTGACAGGAGTGGCACCCGATGTGGTCTTCTGCTGCTGTAGCCCATCCACCTCAAAATTCGACATGTTGTGTGTTTAGAGATGCTCTTCTGCATACCAAGGTTGTATTGATTGTTTGTTTGAGTTACTGTTGCCTTTCTATCAGCTCTAACCAGTCTGGCTATTCTCCTCTGACCTCTGGCATCAACAAGGCATTTGCGTCCACAAAACTGCCACTCACTGGATATTTTACCTTTTTCGGACCATTCTCTGTAAACCATAGAGTTGGTTGTGCATGAAAAAATTTAGTCAGATAGACTAAAAAGATAGATAGATAGATAGATAGATAGATAGATAGATAGATAGATAGATAGATAGATAGATAGATAGATAGATAGATAGATAGATAGATAGATAGATAGATAGATAGATAGATAGATAGATAGATAGATAGATAGATAGATTGATAGATAGATAGATAGATAGATAGATAGAATCTTGTTTTTTGGGAGAACAACTAAATTGTTTTATGCTCTATCTACTTCAATTTGTAAAAACTAATAAGTGAATACAATTTTTCATTAATTGTGTGGAACCCAGCATTTTCAGTGTAAGTATACTAATGTCAGACTTAACATCATGTTTTATGTTTTATGGAGGTAATTGTTTTGCTTATTAGAGGCAAACATCCAAGCAAATACCATCAAACTGCAGTTACTACTTTAGAATGTGATGTCTACTTCCTAAGAACTGATGTTTTATACCACATTTATAGTCAACTTCATTCTGATTCTCAATGTTTTATAAACATTTGTCAGCAATTATTGGTGTCATTATAATGTCATTGAATTGATTCTCTTGTCACCTCTGTAAAAAAAAAACAAAAAACTGTGAAGTATGCATTAATATGTCAGGTGGTCCCATGATAAAAAAGTCAACTTTATATATTTAATAGTCATATTATCCTCTTATTAAAGACAAAAACTATTTAAATATGAAAGTCTTATGGACATCACAAGTGAAAAATATAAATAAATCAATTACGAATTAAGACTACCACACAAATATGCTTATTTATTCATTCATACAAGTAGGTGTTTACTTTTCTACTTAGAACACTGGCATTTTATTATTTAACACTATCATGCAGACTATTTAATTGTAATTGTTCCTTTGGCAGTAATCTTTAAAACAGCAGTTTAACAATTGTTACATTACTATTTCTATTTTAAGCAGTGCTGGTGCATGCGACTAAATAACTATGAGCACGCACATTTTAAGGAGCTTTCAACAGATACATTAACGTATGTGAATATTGATGTGTATATACTGGTATTTAATACTTACAATGAACAAAGAAGTGGTCTGCATCCTGTAACACTCTAATCCGATGCCATTGACATTGTGAAACTGACAGAACTCTAATCCAATAGCATTCTATGGAAAGTAATTGGCAGTGAACCAAACTGTAAGTTGATTTGATGTACTACATGTGACTACATGTGAAATTATAAATACCTCTTAATTGCTTACGCACCACCGCAGATGTTATACAGGGATCATTCTGTGCTGTTGGTGGGGGCAAGCATAATTTTGAGTGGCACAGACCACCCTGTGCTACCTCTGGTTGTTATGGAAAACAATCCAATGCAAAGTAAGGCATCATCAATGTGAAGGAAATTCAACACGAGACATTTTGGCAGCTCAGGTCCTCAAGAAAGGATTTGGTAGTCTGAAACATGCGGTATTTTAAACAGCAAAATGATCTCTAATATGTCAAAATGATGTGTGTTCACAGAAACTCAACATACTGTATGAAGGTGTCCATGTCGCTGACAGTCGAGGAGAGTGAAGAGGGACTTTGCTTTAGCAGCCGAATACGTTACCAGGAGAGAGCCGAGATCACCAAGAGCAAAATGATCTCCTGTCCTGACATTGATGACTACCTGGCGCCCTACAAGCAGCCGATCATGACCTGGTACAAGGTACAGAATTATTATCCTCACTGCATGAGGTGTCTATGAATTTTACATCTAGAACATACTGAATTTTTATTTTTTTTCTCGCTCTACTCTCAAATGCAGAGTGTCTACTAGTTTATAACCTTCAATTACTTTTGAACAGTGTATATATATATATATATATATATATATATATATATATATATATATATATGTATATCACTTGAATAAAAGTATTATATTTATATATATATTTATTTTTATATATTTATATATATATATATATTAAAGTTAAAATAAAACTACACAAAATAAAAACACTCTAATTAAGTACAAATCCTGGCTCCATGAAAGTCCTTGAGGGGAAGGGGGGAATTCCTTAGGCAATCGATATCTATAAGGGGCACTGCAAAAAACTTTTCAACTGTCACCTTAACCTAAGGCTGCGTTCGAAATCGAATACTATTCAAGGCTACTACTAAGGTATTTGAATTTACTACATGACCATTGGAAAATGTTGTTTTATATAGTATGAATGTAAGTAGTATCAATGGAATTCGGACATACTAGGTTGGAATAACTAGCCAATTCCATGCGTATTCAATAAAAAAGGACAGGAGAGGGTTTTCTTCAATGTCAAAAATATTAGTAATTTATTAGATACAAATGAATAATTCAAGGACAGGGCTCTGGTTTATGGTACCCCAAAGCAATACAAGAATTACATTCAAGAGGTTCGCAACTAACCTACATTTCCCTGACGCTAGCATATATACACAACTGATATTAGCAGGTGGAGTTTTGGTGTAACGTCACTTATCTTTTATTCTGCAGTCCTTTGGCTCTTGTACCCATAAATACTTAATTAATTTCCACCAATGATTCTGAATTTAGAAATATCTATCCATCTATCCATGCATCTACAGTATCTGTCTATCTGTCCATCTGTCCATCTATCTATCTATCTATCTATCTATCTATCTATCTATCTATCTATCTATCTATCTATCTATCTATCTATCTATCTATCTATCTATCTATCTATCTATCTATCTATCTATCTATCTATCTATCTATCTCCACAGGAGTGTCAGAGGAAAGAGTGGAGGAGCTCCATAATCATCAACACCACCAGTCTGTGGATTCCAGAGGTGCAAGAAGACGATGGGGGAAATTACACTTGTGAACTTAAATATGGCAGCAAGGTTGTGAGACGAACCACCGAGCTCAAAGTCACAGGTACACTTTTAAAACATGTTAAAACATTGAATGTGCTGCTTGTGGCTCACTGCGAGCATATAAAGCCTGTTATTTTTATTAAAGCTTTTCTCAGTCCTTTGGTTACATTTCTCAGATCAGAATTGAAATTCTCAAAATTACCTATTCAACCTTAAGATCACTGTGTCACTTGTGCACATCAAAAGAGCAGTTTCTTATTGCTTTGAACAAGTTGCAAATGATTTTGTACTTCCATGCAAATGATTATGTGCAATTTTCAGATGTTTCCTACTGTACATTTAATAATCCTTATGTCATGTTGATCAAAATGTATTATTGTATGTCTGTTGAATAGTCTTACCCCCACAACAGTAAATCGTTTGTTCATGGCGCAAGTCTTTACATGCAAAATGACTGAACAAGTTTGCATAATACTTTGTCATAATGCACTTTTCTTAATAAGTTAATGAACACATTACTAAAATTTCCATGTATATTTTTGTGTTCAAGTTGTATATACTGAAGACAATGTGATATACAAATGCTTGGTTGGTCGATGCAGCAAATTAACAAACCTGGACATTTGGGAATTTTTACATTTTTTGCCGTGCCATGGCACATTTGCTATTTACGTGGAGGACTTTGTGGAAAAACTGAATGCATCACTAGCAAGAAAACAGTTAAACAGACCATCTGCAGCACAGGGATAAATAACGAGCCTCCTTCATAAAGCCTCTTTACTTTCTCTTTCTCTTTACTTTTACTCCTTTACTTTTCTGTATAAGGAAACGGTGTTGTATGCACTCCACTGAAGAAATCCATTAGCCTACATATTGAATTTTGTTTTTTAAGTGCAAAGATTTGTTTCAAAACTATTTCTAAATTCAGTTCTAGTTTTCAGAAAGCGATTCAATGAACATTAATAACGAAGAATGGTCAAAAAACAATATATTTATATCCAAACACTTGCTGTTCTTATGCCCCATATGCATACTTCTCCAAAACCCGACAGGTGGACATCGTTTTCTAATTAAAGCAAATATAAATTTGCATATAATAAATATTATTGCTAGTTTTAATAACATTATACAAATGCAAATTGTCATTAATATACTAAAAAAGCACCCCGAGGTGAAGAAGGCATGGAGGTAGTGGTCTTTATATTTATGTAGAAAATAATAATTTTTGTAACATTTTAATTCTTTAATTTTTTTTTCATACAGTATGTAAAGATATTTGTGTATTGATCAATCAGATCAGCATACATCCATAAAGTGGAGCAAATGAATTTATTATTTAAACAACGTGGTGCAAATTGTGAAAATTACTGTTGCGCTGGTCTGAAAATAACAACAAATCGCGCCATTCACGCCTTTTGTCCTGTGTATGCAGGGGCACATTATGTCTTTGTATACATGTCGCTTGTTTTATCAATGTCACATCATCTCTTTTTATCCCAGCCCTTTTTGCTGCACTGCACAACTGAATTTGACATGCTTAAACTTTAATGTTACTATGGTTTAACATTCTTGTAATAGTATAAGTAGTTACTTGACATATAGTTACAAAATTACTGTATTGAACAGAATGTCTAAAATAGGCATGGGACAATAACCCTTTTTAAGGTATACCGCGGTTTGGAAAAGTCAAGTTTAAAAAACCACCAAGATTTTCTGCTATTCCGTTGCTAAGGTATGTGTAAATAATTTTATTTATGTTTTTTTGGTTTGTTTGTTTTTTAGTACAACAGTAAATCCAGCAGGAAACATATCCAAAGATGCCGTTTTAAATTGTAAAAAATCAGTTTTTACAGTTTTCTCAGTGGCTTTGGTGCATTTCTCACAACACTATTTACATTTGCACAACTGTTATTGCATTTCTCAAAACAATTAGTATAGTAGCAGTTTATCATTCCTTCCAACAAATTGCAAATGCTTTTGGACATGCATCAATTGCTTTCATACAACTCTGCTGTTTTATGACCTTATCATTTGCTTATGTCAGTCGAAATTAACTAATCTTGTGAATGCTGAATAGTCATTCCATATAAAACTAATAGTCCTCTTTTTATAACTTGAGTTATTACAGACTAGTTTATGGAAGGTAAATCCTGCCAATTTTAAATAAATCAAATAAACATTGGAAATGAAAATGAAAATCAGATTAACAATTTTATTTTAAAACACTGTTCGCAAAATATCTGCCAAAATTAAAAACGAAATGAAATTATTTAATTTTCATTTTCATTTCCACTTTGACAACACATCGTCCCTGTCAAATTGATAATTAAAATGAAGTTGCCAATTTAACATTTCATTTTCACTGCATTTCCACGTCAAGACTACAATATTAAAATGAAAAGCCAAACTGAAAAATAAAATGCAAACAAAATTTTTACAAAGCGTGTTATTAATGTTCACGCTATTTTAGTAACACAATTCAAATGAAAATGCAAATTTAAGCTTTCCTTTTATTGATTTATTTAAAATTGGCAGGATTTACCTTCCATACTAGTTGTTAAAATTTGTCAAGCAAATTTTAGAAAAAAAAAATTTAAATCTTTTTATTTTTTTAACTGAAAAGTTTTTATAAAATTGAACAATTTTATGAATGAATTACAGACCTATATACAGTATGTTGTAGATTAATTTCCAATATATACTGCAATATTGTTTACAGTTGTGCACAGCACTACCCAAAGGAAGTTTGTTTGTAGTAGACAAGGGTTTTTTTCTTTCTTTTTTTTTTTGCACAATGCTGTTAATAAATTAGAATTACAAAGAGTATTATCAGTAAAAAAATGTGAAGCATACATATTCAGTGTCTTGTACTCAGATACCTCACTAAATGCAGTGATGTTTAACTTTTTTGTAGTTTTCAAATGGCTGTGCATATAGTGCTGTCTTGAGCATTTTCAGAAAGTGTCACAAAAATCTGCCTTTTTTTGCATTGGAAGAATACAGAACAAAGCCATTTGACTATCTTGTTCATAAACAATGGTGTTAGGACTTTTCATCTTGATGACACTGACACTTTCATTGACATCAATACTTGCTTTTGAGGAATGAGCTATCCATTTTGAGCAAGTGACACGCTTTTGCAGGTTATCAACTAGGTTTTTCAATTTGTACTAATTGTTTTGAGTGTAGTGAGAAGCCACTGAGAAAAAAACTGTCATAATTTTTGTAAGTTTTTTATCCTTTAATTTTTTACAAATGTAAAGATATTTGTGTATTGCTGTACATCCTGTGTGTATTAAGCAAAGTTTAGGACCCACACAGGCGCATAACTAACACAATCTGCACTGGACTTTACACCAGCTGGTCAATGGCACGATCTATTTTAGTTCCTCAAAATAGTAACGCGCCAACAATTCGCCTTAACACACCTCTTTTATAGACCAGCACACCCATGAGTACACAAAATGGCGCAAATGGATTTTAGCTATTTAAACAATGTTGCGCAAAATTTAAAAAAATACTGTGGCACTGATCTAAAAAAAGCAACAAATCATGCCAAACACATCTTGCACCTTATTGCGCCGGGTGTATGATAGGGCCTATAATGTCTTTGTACATGTCGCTTGTTTTATCAGTGTTGCATCATCTTGTTTTATCCTGGCTCTTGTTGCTGCACTGCACAAATTAATTTTACATGTTTATACTTTAATGTTACTATGGCTTAATATTGTATTCCAATTACTTACTTGTTGTATAGTTACAAAATTGCTATATTCAACAGAATGTCTTAAACTAAACTAAACCGTGCAAAATGTAACCATTCTTGAACATGCCTTGATTTACTCAAATTTCAGGTGCAAAAATGTTGCAAAATGTACTTTAAAATCAGGCATTTTCATCTAGTTTTTCCAGTCAGTTTATTACAGCTTTCAGACATCTGTGGTTGGATTTGATCTGCTTTAGTTTTTTAGTTTTTTTCCCTCCACCGTCGACATTGCTAAACCAAATGTAGATCTGGGGTTGTTACTGTAAGTCTGCACATCAAGGTCCACTTTCCTGCAGAGTTTAGCTCCAACTTTAATCAATCTCACTTGCCTGTAGCTTTCTAGTGATCATGAAGACCTTGATTAAGCTTGTTCAGATGTTTTTTTGATCAGGGCCGGAAAGTGAATCTCGAAAGCCAGAGTTCAGAAGCCTTCTGTAGTTGTTCAATCCACATTTGGTCTTTGAGCTGTATAATTTCCGGCAAAACCAAGTCCTTGGTAAAGAAATCAATCGATCATTAGAATTTCCATTTACGAACTGTAATGTGAAATCATCTCTTTGACTACTGCATCACATGGATACTTTAAAGAAACAGTAGTGTAAAGATAGTATTAGATGTATATGGGAAGCAAGTTTTGAAGGAGATGCCCTTATTGTTTTCATTGTCAGCCTTGCGCCTTAAGCTACATACTGAGAAGAAAACTGAGAAGCTTGTTTGAATTCAAGCCCTTGGTTCAAGCCTCCGGCCGTACCACCCCCGTCTGTACACACATCCGGGCTAAATCCAGCTCAGCATACAACAACAATAGATTTTTTTGAGGTGAAAAGAATACTAAAATCTGCGATCACATCTTGTATCTGAGCATGCAACCTCACAATGTCTTTCAAGCTTTCCTTGAGGCAATATGAAACTAATCTCATACTGTACACTTCAGTTACTAGAAGTACATTGCTTGCTTGATAATGATGTATATTTAATTCATAGAGCCCTTTTAAGGGGAGAGCTGTTTTATTAGGGAGGAAACAAATTACATATGCACCCTTAATTGGTTCTCGATCATACAGTGTGCATTACAGCATCATGTAAACCTTACAGGAGCATAATGTACACATGTAATCAGCTGTGTCTTGAATATTTCACTGTGCAAGTGTAATCTGAGTTCGATTTTTCACAGACCACTGGGCTAGAACACTAGTATAACTTCTAAAGTGCTGATCGTGGAACAAATCACTGGCTTTTGCTCTCTTACAAAAGATTGGGAAACCAAAGGTAATTTTTGAAACACCTCTTATGCA